CCCCCCCCCCTCTGCGTGCGCACCAGATTCTGGCGTTCATCTGTTGGTCATCTGCCATCTGCTCGCTGCAGGCGCCGCCCTCGAGTTTTGGATGCCGGTGGATGCTCGCGCGGGAGAGAGGGCGTCGACCCCCCCAAAGAGACGCGGCAGCTCTGACCTGGATGACCCTCGCCGTTCGCTCGGTTCCGCGTGACAAATAGACCGCCAGAGTCGTGCGCAGGCCCACGGTGGCCAGACCAGGAGACCTTCGAGGAGTTCTGTTGTGATCGCCTCGGTGCATGGGCGCACGCTCCGCGTGGGTCGCAGAGTGTGGCCGTTGTGTGGGAGCAGTGCCTTTGCTTCCAGGCGTCCAGGCTGGGGCTGCGTTCCTGGAGCCTCGACGCACATGGCTTACCTTTCGGCCTCGGGCCCTCTTGGGAGGGTGAAAGCATCCACGACTTCGAGATTATGGCAGCGCCTGCTGTTGGATCTTGGACACCTGCGCGGTCACTTACACGCATCCGCTCTCGAAACGTTGGCGCGCAGGTTGAGATGTAAAATCAGAGAGGCCGCGTATGACGGGAACTATCGTGAGGAACGTGGGAACGTTGAGAAGGATGAGAGATCCGGACGGATGATGAGGAGTCTGAGGCTGGGGATGGTCATTCGTGATGTTCCCGCGCCAGCGATGCACACGCGAGCACGAGCGGAGAAGTGAGCACACGAATTGAGACGATCGCCCCTTGTCGGCATCGCCGCACCCCCTCCGCCCACCCATGCCGCTCCAGCCAAAAGCCCACGCCCCCCCCCCTTCATCGCCTCTGGCTCCCTCGCCCTTCTCCCACCCCGCGGCCCCGCCTTCGCGAAGCAGCAGCTGCTGGCGGTCTGCGCGGATGCGATCTGAAATTGTGGCTTACCGTGTCCTCCTCCTCGTTCTCCTCCCCTCCCTCCTCATCCCTCCTCGCTCCTCCCTCCTCCTCCCTCCTCCTCCTCCTCCTTCCTCATCCCTCCCTCCCTCCTCCTCCCTCCTCCTCCCTCATCCTCCTCCTCTCTCCTCCTCCTCATCCTTCCTTCCGCCTCCCTCCTCCTCCCTCCCCCTCCCTCCTCCCCCCTCCTCATCCCTCCTCCTCCCTCATCCCTCCTCCTCCTCCTCCTCCCCCTCCTCCTCCCTCCTCCCTCCTCCTCACTCCTCGCCCTCCCTCCTCCTGGCACGGAGCCGGGCCAGCGCCGAGGATGCCGTCGGCGCCACGACGCCGCAGTGGCTCAGCGCCGAGAGCCGCCACAGGCCTCGGCGACCCTCGGGGGCGGCGGCCGGCGGGAGCCCCATGGGGGGCCCTCGCGCCTCCCGTGGGCGGGGGGGGCTCGAATGGGAATCCCACCTCCTCCTCCTCCTGCTCCTCCTCCTCCTCCTGCTCCTCCTCCTCCTCCTCCTCCTCCTCTTCATGTTTCCTTTTCTTCCTCCACTCCCGCGACATCGACGGCGACCTCCTCGAGAATCAGGCTCATCCCGACCTCGGGGATGTTGGCGCTCGCCGAGCGCATCAAGGCACGGGAGCAGGCGGCCAAAGCGTCCTCTTGCTGATGCTGCTGCTGTGTTATTGTTTTTCGGTTATGTTCTGCCTCGGGGCCTTCGAGGAAACTCCACTCCCGCGTCGTCTACCCCCGCTCTTGATCGACCGATTGGGCAGGGCCAGGCCGGTCAGTGCACACAGGGGGCAGGGGGAACCGCTGAGCTCCGGTGGCCGCAGGGTGGCCAGAGCCCCTGCCAGCCGCCGGAACCGCCCCGCCAGCGCCACGTGCAGCTGGCACCGAGTAAGTGTCTCCCACGGCGTGAGCCTTCAGTTATCTGCTGCGGCCGAGGCCGCCGTGGCCGCCACGGCTCTGGGCTCAGCCGGCCAGGGCGTCTCGTTTCCCATCCCTTTCTTGCGTTCTCTTCCTGCTGTTGCTGCTGCTTCCCACCGCGAGCGTGATGCGTGCCATTTGCTCCTGTGTTTTATGTTCATGGCGTGCTCACTGCACGCTAGCAGAGGGTAGCGCGCCGGATCGGACTTTTCCTTGTTCCTTTGGCCCGCTCGCAGCCCCTCTTGCCAGTGTCGCTCCTCCTCCTCCTCCTCCTCCTCCTCCTTTTCCTCCTCCTCCCCCTCCTCCTCCTCCTCCTCCTCCTCCTCCTCCTCCTCGTCCATCCATTTTCCTCATTGATAATTCCTTCCTGTTGCACCCCCAGGCGGGTCGGCAGGGCGGGTTGGGCGCCCCGAGCGAGATTTCCCCATCATTTACGACCCTGCAACCTGAACATTACAACAGTTTTGCGGATGGGGGGTGGGTTGCTTTCGAAATGCGGTTCTCGCTCAAGCGCCACGCGAATTCGTTTTTAGAAGCTCGCAGCAGTGTCACGGGTGGAGGGCGGGTCGTTTTCAAACTGCGGTTATCGCCTGGGTGCCGCGCAGATTCGTTTAAACATGCGGTAACAGCTTCACGGGTGAATGGCTTGTATTTTTCAATTGTTGGTTCACGCTTCAGCACCGCGTAAATTGTTTCTGAAAGTGCGCAACCGGTTCAACCATTTGCATGGTCGAGGTCCCACGAGTTGTGGTCTGGCAGGATCCAGACTTGGCAGAACGCAACAGTCTTGCTGGCTCAAGGTGTTGAAGTCCGAGGAAGGGCTTCCTGGCACGTCGTAGGATCGTCCGGATGCAACAGTCACGTCAGCTCGCAAGCCTCTGAAGTCCCAGGAATGATCTTCTGGCACGATTGAGATTTCGCATACGTTTGCTTTTCCAATAGAGCACTTCCCGCAATGAGCATACATTCTTGTAGGGCCCTATGAGGGGGGCATTTGGACGGACGGCTCATTGCAACATCGCTGATGCGTCTTAGGTTTACACTTGTCCTCCTCCTCCTCCTCCTCCTCCTCCTCCTCCTCCCCCTCCTCCTCCTCCCCACCGCTTCTCCTGAGGTGTTGGATTTTACATAGTACTGGCCGCTTGCGGTTCCCATGGTCCTCCACGCAGCACCGCCCCCGATGATCATCAGCCAGGCTGGGGAGAACGGCGCGCTCACATTTTTCTGCGCGGACCAAGGTGTCGCGCGTTCGCTCGCCCACTGCACGTGGGCCCTCGTGGGGCTCTGGACTTGCCCTGCGCATTCTGGCAGTATCGGTCTGCGCTTGAAAGCATCCCACAGGCGTCTACCGTAGCCGTATCACGGGCCGAGACCTCGTCAAGCGGTGCAAACCACAAGCACATGGGGCGCTCAAAAAAGGGCCTTGCCCTCGAGGACCGAAGGAGTTGCCATCTCTCCGCGGCGGAAGGCGGCGGAAGGGCGGCGGAGGGTCGGCGGAGGGTCGGCGGAAGTAGAACGAGGCCGCCTCCGCCAGCGGAAACCGACGGAAGCTCGGCGGAATGCGGCGGATGGCGGCGGAAGTAAAAGAGGTGGCCCAAGAAACGAACACGTTTTTAGTTTTGGGTTTCCGGATTCGCCCACATGCATATATCGGTGGGCGGCGTTTGATGATTTTCTGCTTCTCGGCGCCCTCACCGGGCCCTGGAACCACCAGAAACCGCACGGGATGTCACGCCGGCCCCTGGGGTGGGGTCGAGACCTTCGGGGGCCCCCGCTGTCAACAACAGCACGGCTACGGGGTTTTAGGAGCGCCGAGCGGTTTTACAACAGATCCGTAGCTATACGCCGACGACCACCCTTCGGGAGATAGGAGGTTTGGGGGGAGAGAACCAACTACGGACACTTGCGATGATGATGCTGGTGGCGATACTCGCGATGCACTCGCGAGTTGGCGACGATGCAAAACGACGATGCTGACGACAATGTAGCTGTGGCGATGAAGGGTGTGGTGAGGAGTGTGGCGGTGATGATTGCGACAGGATGCCGACGGGACACCGACGAGATACCGCGGCGGGGCACCTCCTGCCGCCGCCCGCGGACACCGACAGGACACCGACCAGACACCACGGACGGCGGGACACCACGGCGGGACACCCCCGGCCACACCGGCCCACTGGAGAGGCGGTCTTTCGTCTTGACCCGCCCCAGCCACAGCGGAGTCATTCCTCCCTCCCGCCCACGCAGCTTCGCCTCGCCCGCATGCGCGACACGGAATCGAAACCGAAGCCGAATTCTCAGTGGGGGAGTTGTCGCTTCCGCCTCGATCTCACCCCCCAGCATCCGATCCACGTCATCGCGGTCTGGGCACCGGGGCGCGATCCCACACACACGCGATCCCGTGGATGCGTTCCGCGTGCGGCAGCCCACGCAGGGCCGCCCCGTGCCCAGGGCAGCGCTGCCGAGGAGGCTGGACCGCGAGAGCGTGGACGCGGGTGTGCTTCCCGCCCGCGAGTGCCATGAGGTCCACGAAGGCGGGTGCAGATAGATGCGCCGAGCCTGGGCGAGGGCTGGATGCACTCGAGGCCGCCGGTCTTTCCAGCGTTCGGCCGGCCTCCGCGCGGACGGAGCCGCCGGCCATCCGCGCCTGCATCCAGCCCGTATTCGTCCACAGGATCCGCATACGGACTCGGCGATGCGTGTTTCCCACTTTCTGGTAGGAGGGTATGGGTGTCATGACCAAGGCCGTATGCTTCGAGCCCCGCCCACTCCCACACGGGGCAGCATGGCGAAGAGGAGCTGGGGATATGAGATGGGGAGGAGGGGCATGAAGGAAGATGAGGAGGTGGATCGGGGGAAAGGTCGGGGAACCTGAGTGTGTACTCGGGTTGGCCGGAACTTGGGTCTGCCTTCGCCTTTTGACGGGCCCGTCCCGACCTTTGACGGTCCAGCGTTCGTCGAAGATTTTCAGCGGGAGTTCGCGTCAAATTTTTCATCGGGTATCATCATTGTCCTGACGGCCGCGGCAGGCCAGCCCGAGTCCCCCGAAGCCGAGGTTCACGCCTCCCCGGAGGAAGAAGATGGAGGGCGTGCAGGAGGACAAGGGCGAGGACGAGGAGGAGGAGCGCGATGCCCAGGAGGCCCCCCCCCCTCTCAGGGCAGCGGTCGCCAACCTGGTGGGCATGATCCTCGAGGCTCGCCCGCCGCCCCTCCGTCGCCTGCGCCAATCCGGGAAGCATCAGAGGGAGCAAGTCCAAGTCTAAGCTTGGGGCCCGCAAAACATGAAGAATCGGGTGGTCAAGATGCCACCCCTGATTCACCTGGCCAGGCTGTCGTCGGGGCTCCGAAGAGGGCTCGGAGCTGACCGAAGACGAGGAAGTGCGCGAAGTCTCCCCTGCGCGAATCCTCCTCGCCCCCCCACCCACCTCCTAGGCTCCAGACCTCCTCCGCGCCGTGGCAGGCAACGCGACGGGCGATGTGGCGTTGTGTTTGAACATCCAGCGAAGCCCGGTGGCAGAGAGGGGCGAAGAGGATCGGGGCTCAAGAGACGGGGGCCAATGCAAACGGAGGTCAGGCAGGGCGACGGATCGTGTAGGATCCTGCCAGGCCAGGGGCGCACTGGCCCGGGCTTGGGAGCAGGATCCTGCAGGACCCTACAGGATCTTGCAGGGTCCCGCAGGGTCTGACTGACCCGGGTTTGCATTGTCCCGGGTCAGCGCGTCCCCGAAAGAGGAGGGGCGGGGCAGTTAGGGCAGGGACAACATCGAACATGGATACTTCGGGAACCTCAGAGATCTGGCGGCCCCGGAGGGTGCGTTCGGCGCCGCGGCCTTCTGATATGTTGACAATGAAGATGATGGGGGTTATGTTGCTCTTGTTGTGCTCACGTTTACGGTGTTGAGGTTCGCTGTTCCGAAATCCAAGCTTTTTTTTTGCACATTAACAACTAAAACCAAACGTCAACCAATCAGACCGTCACCAAAACTATCTAAGACCTAACTTCAACAACTTCAACCAAGCGCTTCGCGCTCCTATTTCACCCCAGCGCTTGACTAAGCGCTTTGCGCTCACATTCTTCTCCAACGCTTGCACTGTGTTTTCACTTTTCTCCAGCGCTTGCGCTTGCTCTTGCGATGTTCTCCTCCTCTGCTTCACCCTCCTCCTCATGCTCCTCCGCCTTCCCCGCCTCCTCACTCCTCCTCCTCCCCCTCCTTCCTCCTCCCTCCTTCTCCTCCTCATCCTCCTCCTCCTCGTTCGCCTCCTCTTTCTCCTCCTCCTTCTCCTCCATCCTCCCTCCTTCCTCCTCCTCCTACTCCTCATCCTCCTCATCCTCCTCATCCTCCTCCGCCCTCCTCTTCCTCCGCCCTCCTCCTCCTCCTTCTCCTCCTCCTCATCCTCATCCTCGTCCTCCCCTTCCTCCTCCCTCCCTCCCTCCCTCCCTCCCCCCTCCTCCCTCCTTCCTCCTCCTTCTCCTCCCTCCTCCTCCTCCTCCTCCTCCTCCTCATCATCATCATCCCTCCTGCTCCTACTCCTCCTCCTCCTCCTCCTCCTCCTCCTCATCCTCCTCCTCCTCCTCCTCCTCCTCCATGGGTCCATGAAGGAAGAGGAAGAGGAAAAGGAGGTGAAGAAGACCTGGCTTCCTACCATCGGGAACCAAGAGGGGTAGGGAGAGACATGGCTTCTCAACATCGGGTAGCCTCAGTTTCACACTACGTGTAACAGAAGCAGGAGGAGGTGGATGGGGCCGAGGCATGAGAAAAGGCTTGAACACCGGCCCGCCCGATAACGCTCGATACCACCTCGATAACCTGTTTTCGGAATGTTATCGGCGTGCTATTGGATGCAATCGAGCCTTATCGGGCGGGCCGAGGGGGAGGGGGAGGCTCTGTCTACTCTCCGAGGGCATTTTTGGCGCCCCCGCGCGGGCGGGAGAAGGAAACGAAGCAAAGTAAAGAGCGTGCTTCTTTTCAGTTCCGGCCCGCGTGGGAGCGCCAGAAGTGCCTTCTGAGGAGGATATGGAGGAGGAGGAGGAGGAGGAGGAGGAGGAGGAGGAGGAGGATCTGGAGGAAGAGGAGGAGGAGGAGGAGGAGGAGGAGGAGGAGGAGGAGGAGCAGGAGGAGGAGGAGGAGGAGGAGGAGGAGGAGGACAGGGGTCGTAGGATCGGAGGCGGGTCCGAGGGCGCAGGGGATGCGTCCAAATCCCAGCGACATGCCAACCGCTTCGCGCCCGAAGCGTCTGGCATGCACGGAGGTGTTCGGGCCATCTTTGGGGCGCTCCTTGGAGGCCTTTTGGGACGTCTTGGGGATCCCTTGGCGGTCCCAGGGGGCTCTTGTGGCTTCTTGGGTGTCTCTGGGGGTCTCTTGGTGTCGCTTGGGGTTTCTTGGGGGGCGTCTTGGGACTTCTGGGTGGCCTCTTGGGGCCACCTTAGGGGGCCTCTGCTCTCTCGGATGTTCAGGGGTCGTGGGGTCCAAGGGCGGGTCCGAGGGAGCCGGGGACGTGACCAACTCCCAGTGCAGTGCCAAGTGCTTCGCGCCCGAAGCGTTTGGCCTTTCTTAGGGGTTTTCGGGCTATGTGTTGGGCGCTTCGTGGTGGCCTCTGGGGACGTGCTGGGGGGTTTTCTTGGCGGTCCCAGGGGGCTCTGGGGAGGAGGAGGAGGGTTCCGAGGATCAGCGCAAAGCGCTGGAAGGAGCATAATTCCGCAACAACCTACCTTCTACAAATCGACCGCTTAAAAAGACCAGCCCCGAAACTCTGACCTTAACTCTAGCTCAACCTCAACATCTGAGGTGTTGGAGTTAGTCTATTCTAGACGCTTCGCCTAATCCCACCAGCCCATCCAGAAACGATGCCCAGAGGAATTGTTTCGATCAGGAAAGTAGGCAGTACACAGAGGGAGGGTCCCCCAGTGGAGGCCTCTTGGAGCGTCTTGGGGGCCTCTTGGCGGTCCTGGACCCTCTTAGAGCGTCTTGGGTATCTCAGAGAGCTTCTTGGGGCCTCTTGGGGGTCTGTTGGCAGCCCCTTGGAGGCCTCTTGGGCGCCTGTTGGGGCCTCCTGGGGCCTCCTGGGTGCTTTGGGGGTGCTCTTGGGCGCTCTTAGGGCCGTCTTGAGGCTCCCTTGAGCCGTCTTGGAGCGGTCTTGAGGCCTCTTGGAGCATCGTGGGAGCCATCTTGAGGCATCTTCGGATATCTTGAGCCATCTTGGAGGTCATCTTGGGCTCTTCCAGGCGCTTTTTGAGTCATCTTAATCAGTGCCCCCCACCCGGGAGGCCAACATGTGGCCAACACCTCAGGAAACCAAACAGTTATTTTAGCATTCTCGCCGAGGCCTCTTGGAACGTTTTGGGTGCCTCTGGCTGGCCTCTTGGGGCCTTTTGTGGGTCTCTTGGGAGCTTCTTTGGGGCATCCTGAGGGCCTCTTGAGGGCCTCTTGGGGCCTCTTGGGGCCCTCTTGGGGCACCCTTGGGGCACCCTTGGGAGCGCTCTTGGGGCCATCTCGGAGGAGATCGATCAAAAAGAGGGGGTTCCCTAATTAGCCCCCCCCCCAGAAGGCCAAAATGGGGCCAGAACCTTTTTAGTAAAACCAGTGATTTTGGCTTCCTCGCCGAGGCCGTTTGGGGCGCTCCACCTACCTGCGAAACCCCCCATCCAGGTCCAGGGGAGGGGGTAGGGGGAGGGGTCAAGGCACCCTCTCCGCACGCAAGCCGTCTAGCTTACTCCCACCCGCACAAGTGGCATCCGAGTCTCGGCACAGCCAGGGGTCGCCACTGGATGGACAGCCACTGGAAACCAAAGCGGACGCCAGGTGCGCGACGCTCGCCGCGGGCTCCACATGCGGTTGGTGTGCCATCCTTGTAAAAAACGTGATGCCCCCATGTCCGCATGGTCCAGATGCTGATGTGGGAGGCGTCAGCATTGTTCTGGGCTTGCGCACAGCAAGCATCATCATGCGGGCACCACCGCCGTCCCTGTCAAATAACAATACAAAGTAATCGCGGGTGGCCAGCACGATACCCACGACGTTGTCGCAACGTGGACTTTGAATTGTTTTTGACACAGATGGTGGTCCTGCACAAAGTGGCTTCACTAACGGTGTCCCGCCGTCCCTGTCAAAAACCATGCTGCGTGCTCACAGGGCGCCAGCGCACTGTCCGGATTTTGCTGCAATGTGCACTTCGTATTGTTTTTGACAGGGATTGTGGAGGGTGTTGGCAGGGTGGGCCCCGCAATGTGCAGTTTGTGTCGTCTTTTTGACAGGGATGGTGTCGGGGGGTGCCCGCATGGTTCTGGGTTGGCTGCCGGCCAGGTGGGGGAGGGTGTGTTTACTAATTGGGAACAGTGATAAACCCCTCCCCGAAGGGGAAGAGGGAGGGGTGGAAGAGGAAGATCCCTAAACCACCTTACGCTCTAAAGAGCTGGTGGGATTATTCTTGCACGCAAGTTTTAGGAGTACCACCGCAGCTGCGTAAGTTTAACTTAACTTGTGATACCGCAAGAGCAACCTAACCCCCACATCTTCGTTGCCAGCATATCCGTTCTCAAAGCGTCCCGGGGCGCTCTGAGAGCGTCCCGGGCCGCTCCGGAACTGTCCCATCCTTGTCCTGGCCCCGCCCAGGTCGTCCTGGATCCGGTGTTCCCGGGAGCCAGTTTTTCGTTGTTATTGTAGGTTCTGGGAAGTGCGTTTGCATTTGGGGAGAACCTGAAGCAAGTCGCGAACGACTCGACGTGCGAAAACCGCGCAAGTCGAAAGGCACTTAAACGCCCGCGTTCGATTGAAGGGGGGCGAGGGGAGGGGGGGAGCGAACGCGATGCAAGTAAACGGGCCTGGATCTACAGAAAAACAGGCTCTTCGTGCTGGATCAGATTTTCCGGGTCCGAGGGGAGACGGGGGGTTCGCCGCAGCTCCCAGAGCGACGCCAGGGGCACCACCACCACCGCGGGGGGGCCCTCTCCAGGGGCCCCCCTCGTCCCGAGCAGGGGGGGGGCATCGAGGCTTTTCGGGGTGTCCTCGCCGTGAGCAGCAGGGCACGGCGTCGGACGTCTCGGCTCGCCCCCTCCCCGCCCCCCTCGTCGTAAGTCGGGCATGTCCCTCTGCGGGAGGACGACTCAAGACCCGCCCCCCTCGTCTTAAGTCGGGCATGTCCCTCTACGGGAGGACGACTCAAGGATCGTCAGGCAAAAGTCTGGGGACGATTTTCCCATTTGTTGGACTATTGGAGCATCTTCTCGCTATTCCTATCTCTTCATCCAAAAAATCCGCCTGTAGGCCTCTGGTCTCTCGGAGCTCGGGGGTCGTGGGGTGCGAGGCCGGGTCCGAGGGAGCCGGGGACGTGACCACCTCCCAGCGCAGTGCCGAGTGCTTCGCGCCCGCAGCCCTGCGTGTTCGGACTCTCTGTTGGGCGTCTCGTGGCGGGCTCTTGGGGCGTGCTGGGCGGACCCGCCCGACCCGACCCCTCGCCGCGCACCGCCGCTGTCTTTCCGGCATGCTCGGGGACCCCGCCGTGGGCCCCCCAGCCAGCTGGGGCCATTTCGGCGGGGTTGGCCGCCCGCGCGCGCAGAGGCCGCGCCCCGCACGCGCCCCGCCCCCCCGCCCTTCCCGGGCTCGTCTCGATGCCGCCGCGGCGATCCGGCTCGGTTTCGATGGCCTCCGACTCCGAGTCGATTCGACTTCGGATTCCGATGTGGACTCCATGCCGCCGATCCGATTCGGTTCGGTTTCGATGGCTTCCGATTCCGATTCGATTCGACTTCGGATTCCGAGTTGGATCCCGATTCCTTACTGGAGACATACTGGCCTGCCGATTTTGCCCCCGATTCGACTTCTCCCGGCTCGGCTTCAGATTTTTCCGCCGATCCGACTCGTTTCGAACGCCGATCCGACTTATCGATTCGATTCTGGGCTCTCCTGCCCTTTCCCCGCTCCCCGCGCTGGGGCGACGACATCTCTAAAAAAAACATGTCCACTGCTCCCTGGCCAGGCCCACCCCGAAGCCAGCACCAGTGCTCTTCCCTCGCCGCGGTGGGAAGGTAGCCACGTGTGCGTGCGAAGCTCCGCGCACGCGTGTGTCTCGCCGCGGCGGCGCCGAAGACTGCGCGTTCCTCGAGGACGGGAGAGCCCCTGGCCCTGATAACAGGGTAGCGACGTGGCCTCACCGAGGCCCCCGTCTTCGCACTGGGGACGCTACATCTGGGTGGCTTGGTTCGATACATACATCTGCAGGAACGACCCCTGCCCCAGAATGTCTTTGGGCCCTCCTCCCTCAGGTCCTCCCCCAAAAGGGTCCTTTCTCAGGGCGCCCTCGAGGGCGCGAAGTTTTTCGCGCTTCGCGGTTCGGCTCCGATTCCTCCTCATCCTCCTCTTCTCCCCTGGGAGGCGGCGCGATAGCGCGAAGTTATTCGCAATTCGCGCAATTCGGCGCACAAGGCCCTTGGGCCATGATGTGGAGCTCGTTGGGGTTGTTCTGGGGCGGCTTTCGTGACCTTTCAGGGCCTCTTGGAGACACTTTGCGCCCTCGTTGGCCGGGCGGGCGACTTGGCACGAGGTTGCGAGGGGTCGCCCCTCGTGGGCGACGGGACCTTGTCAGACGGTGGTCAGCCGTTTTATCACGCCTCGGCGTCCCGTTGCCGTCATGGCAGGGCATGGCGCCGTCCATCCACCCGCGCGGGAAGTGGCAAGACTCTTGGTACGACTTGCGTCGGCCCACGCGCGGCTACTTGCAGCGAGCCACGCAGCCCAGTCAGAAATTCACACCTATGCCAGAAGGCTGGTGGGGATTATGTTTCTGCAAACATTACCGTTCGTCTCATCTTCTCTCCTAGGCTCCTCCTCCTCCTCCTCCTCCTCATCATCATCATCACCATCATCACAATACTTCTTGTCTCAGTCATGCATCCTTGGGCTCTTATCCTCACACACGTGCCCCTTGGTGCCCGCTGCCATCTTCCAACTGAGCTCCTCCTGTCAGTGTCGGACCGTCGCCCGCTTTCGTCCTTGTTCTTCTCCGGGTGCAGGCGTTTTTTGGCCAGCAGCTTCGTGCGTGTGTCTGCTCCTTCCATGAGCCCCCCAGGGCTCGTTTTGATGCTTCCAATTCGATTCGATTCGATTTCGATGGCTTCCGATTCCGATTCGATTCGGCTTCGGATTTCGATTCGGAATCCGATTCCTTGTTGGAGGCATAATAGCCTGCCGATTTCCGCCGATTCGACTTTTCCCGACTCGGCTGCCGATTTCCGCCGATCTGATCCATTTCGATCGCCGATCCGATTTGTCGATTCGATACTGGGCTCTCCTGGTCCCCACGTGGCCGTCGCCAAGTTCGCCCGGGCGGCCTGTGCGCGCTTGCGCCTTCTCCGCGCGCACCCTTCGCTGCGATTGAAGGACCGTTACCGGGTGCAGGAGGTGAAGTTGGCCACCGCCCAGGCTCCTACTTCGGTCTGGTTGTCGGCCAGTGGCGACGAGGGAGGGGGAAGCAGAGAGGGCTTTTGCGTCTGTAGAGAAAGAGGGAGTGATAAAAATAGAGAGAGAGAGAGAGAGAAAGAGAGAGAGAGAGAGGGACAGGGAGAGAGAAAGGGAGGAATAGAGAGAGAGAGAGAGAAACAGAGATAGAGAGGTTTGGAGGGAGGGAGTAGACAGAGAGAGGGAGAGAGATGGAGAGTTTAATAGAAAGAGAGAGAGAGAGAGAGGAAGAGAGGGTGCGAAGTGACAGACAGATAGAGATATATTCCTATTCTTATATCTTTGTTACCCGGACCCCCCCCCAACCCCCCCCCGGACCCCCCCCCCTTACACCGGATCCTTCCCCCAGGGACACTCCGGACGCCCTTTCGGACGTTTCGGCGGCCCCCTGGACGCCCTTGGAAAAGGTTCGGTGGCCCTTCCGGGCCTCCCAGGGCGCCTCGCTGGGCCTTGCGAGCCGACTGAAGGCGATTGGAGGGGTCGTCGGAGAGGCGCAAGAGAGACCCAAGACAGCGCAAGAGCGCTCCAAGAGGAACCTCGATGGTCTGAAGATGGCCCAAGAGGCCCCCAAGACACCCCAAGAGGCCGTTAAGAGAGCCCCGAAGAAGCCAAAATTGTCACATTCCCTCAGGAAATAAATTTGTTGTACATATGCGCTTGTTGGGTCTTCGCAGCGTCCAAGACGGCCCAGTGGGCCCCCAATCTCGCCCCAAGACGGCCTGGGAGGCCCCCTACAGGGGTTGAAGGCGGCCCAAGGGGGCCCCAAAACTGCCCCAGAGAGCCCCGAGACTGCCCACAAGAAGCCCAAGATGCCCCCAGAAGGCTCCCAAGAGAGACCCACGAAAGCCATGGGATACCTCCAAGAACGCCACTGGAGGCCCGCAAGAGGGCCCTAGATGGCTTCAGAAGACCTCTGGAGGGCCCCAGCTCCCCAAGGCGGCCCAAGAAGCCCCCAGGACGGCCCAAGAGTGCCCCAGGACGGCACAAAAGAGCACCAAAAACGACCAGACGGCGTTCTCCTACGAAATACATCAAGCTGACCAGACGATCTTGGTTCCACGTTTGAGGCTCGAGGTTTCAGTAGCTACCCGATCGAGAGAGACAGGCAATGGATCTAGATTCGAAATTCGACGATCGAAGATTTCCTGAGTGCCTGGAGCCCTCCAGGCATTCGGGAAGCGATCAAAATCGATGTGTTCGGAGTTACTGTGACTTCTTCGGCGTGTCATGAGAACGCTCCTTACTTCCTCAAAGGACCTTCGCGCGCGAAAAAATCAGCATGATTTCCCCACTCCTGCGCGCAAGCGTACCAGCGCATCGTCCGAAAGCGGTGTCAGCAGGCACCCGGGATATCGGAAAAATCGGCGGGTCGCCCGTCCAGGCCTCGAGGTCCTCCCTGCTGAAGAAAGCGATGATGTATTGCTTCGCCAGGGAAGCGTCCGGAACAAGGCGCATGGCGCGAAGCGCCAATGCAGTCTTGTATATTAACACATATAGTTCTACATATATATATATATATATATGTATATACATATATGGTTGTAGATGCCCCCCCCCGCAGCACCCACCCCCCACGCCACAAAAACTAACGAAACCTTCACTCGTCGCCTACCTCTCCTTTTCCTCCTCCTCCTGAATTATTATTATTCTCCTCCTCTACATCCTCCTCCTCCTCCTCGTCCCCCTTTTTCTCCTTCTCCCTTTCCCCTCCTCCTCTTCCTCGCCCTCCTGCGGGAGTGGCTTTACCAAAGAAGTCCTTCTGAGGTGGTCGAGCCAACATCTTCCCTTTACGGTTGCTTTCCAACGGATCTTTTGTGATGTCTGAAATAGAGTTGTTGATTTTTATGGGGTTCGGTGGAAACACAGATACACCAGATGCGTGCAAAGACTGGTAAGGAAGCCAGGTGACAACACAGGTAGCCCACATATATTTTAAGGTTGTCGCCAGGAGGCCGTAGGGAGGCAACGATATTCTAGATAATTCCATGGTTTCTCTAGACGGGTGTTCCTCCTCCTTCTCCTCCTCCTGCTCCTTCTCCTCGCGCACGCGCCTCCTCAGGAACGCTGCGCTAGGCAGGAGAACCTGGCAACACACAACCATTCAACATACTTTTAGAGGCTTTGGTAAGGGCACCCAGTGAAAACACAGATAAGCCTTTTGACAGCACAGTTCATCCATATCCGTTCCACAAACAGTGCTTACACTCAGCGGCTCGTACTTCTGTTCTGAGGAAAGGTGCTGTGTCTTCGTTCTGGCGGCTACGTGGCCGCCGTCGCCGCCCCGTCGCCGCCTCGTGGCCGCCCGTCGTCTGGGCCGTGTCTTTGGTCTGGCAGCTGGGTGGCCGCCGTCGCCGCCGCGTCGCCGCCCATCGCAGCCGTCGGCTTGCACCACGTAGATTGCATGAAAAGCACCGCGCCAGCGGTGCGCCTTTTGATCGCTCACAGCATCGATTGCTTCACATATGCTGCACCATGTTGCCCCACATAGTTTTAACAACTGCATCGATTACCCCACATAGGCTGCACAACATGGATTGCACGACAAACATCGTGCAGCACATTGAATGTACAACACGCGAACTATGTTGAGCCAAATAGGTTGCACAACATATATTGCACACCGTAGGTAGCATCGCATACACATATATATATATAGCACCACGTAGATTGCACCAACCGCCAACCCCTTTTATGCCACCTTTGTAACACGTGCTGCCACGCATGGATAGGAAAGAACGGTCTGAAAACTCCCCATGATGACCCCGGAGCAGGCCCTCGTCCACGTCCAGATCCGCACGCCAGCTTTCCAGAAGTAGGCCCACATCCAGCACGGCGCACGTAGGCGTCGCTGGAAGGCGCGGAGTTCTCTATGAAACTTACAGTCGTTCGTGGAGTAATTGTGGGGGTCGAATCCAGCAGGAAGAACATCTGCAGCCCACATCTCCTGCTCGTCTCCAGAGTGCATTCATTCATGGGGAGTCGCGTGTCATTCCAGCTCGCAGAGACAACGCCTCGAAGTAACGTGCGGTTGCCAGTATCATGGCCCGTCCTGCGTTGCCTCACAGAGAGGCCCAGCATTTGATTGCCGCCGGCTAATTCCCGCAATCCCTTCTTCCTTCCCACATCTCGTCATCAGGGAAACTCAAACTCACTGGAAACATACCCACTCATGGTCACCCACGCTCATTCGTGTGCAAAGCATCATCTCCCCACTCATACTCCAGCTTTCTTACAAACATACCCACTCAGCCCTAACCACGCGTGATCGCATTCACTCACTCCCAGACAAAATCAGATCTCCTCATGTCATGTTGAATTTGCTCATCACCCAGACACGGCAGTACCCAACCTCATTCGTATCCGGCCGCTTGCACACAGTCGCGCACGTCCGCACTCCCTCGGTTTCAGGCAGGCCCGCTCACACTCAGAATCCCCATCTCGCACTCATGCCGTCATTTTCAAGCCTACGGGTGATCACCCATGTTCTCTTTTATAACAAAAAACCCGACCCGCCCCAGGCCCTCACGCTGGAGTGCACCGACATGGCGCTCTGCAGGGTCGTGGAGCTGCGCCTGATCATGGAGGCTCCGCGGCGGCCCTGTCCTTTGGCGTCCTGCTCCCCCCCCGCTCCTGCTCCCGCTCCCGCTCCCGCTCCTGCTCCTGCTCCTCCTCCTCCTCCTCCTCCTCCTCCTCCTCCTCCTCCGGGAGAGGCAGTTGGCTTGGATTTTGCTTGGTAAGCATCCGTCCCGCAAGCACGGTCGCCTCGGAGCGGCGGCTTCGCTCTCCGACGCCTCGCGCACTTTCCTGGCATCGAAGCTAGGCCTCGAAGATGTGCCAGCTCTTGGACCCGGCCCAGCTGTTGAGCGGGTCGGCGTCGACCTCGTCCGAGGCTTCGTGCTATTCGGCTTCTCCTCTCGCGCCCAGGCTGAGGTGTTGGGGCAGCGAGTCTTTGACAGGAGAGCGCGCGATGCGGTGGATTTTCGGACGAAGGATAACTTGCTTGTTTTTGCTGTGATGCATGTTTAATGCGATGACTTCGTTGGTTGGTGTGGTGCTCCTCCTCGTTCTCAAGCCGTTTTGACTCAAGGGTGAGTTGCTCGGATGGGCACGGCTCGTTTTTGCTTCTGCCCCAGGGTCGACCATGCCGTCGGGTAAGATCAATCAGTTCTTCGAGGACAAGGGTTTCGGCTTCATCACTCCTGACGGCGGTAGCGATGACGTGTTTCTGCACCGCAGAGCTCATGAGGATGGCAAATATTGCACCGCGTAGTTGGAAAAGGGCGACTCCGTCACTTACGAGGTGGAGTGGGACAACCGCAAGGGCAAGTACTCAGCCACGTCTTGCGACGGCCCCTGGAAGACAGGCGGTGGTGGTGGAGGCGATGGTTGGCGCTCTGGCGGTGGAGGCGGCTGGGGCAGTGGGAAAGGCTCTGGGAAAGGCTTTCACGCCTGGTGAGATCGGGGCGCACAAGGCAGGGACACCGAGAGTGCAGGTATCCGCTACTTTCTCAGAGTGCAAGGCATGGCTCCTCCTCCTCCTCCTCCTCCTCCTCCTCCTCCTCCTCCTCCTCCTCCTCCTCCTCCTCCTCATCCCCATCCTTCTCTTCCTCCTCCTCCTCCTCCTCGTCCCTCCTCTCTTCTCTTCCCTCCTCTTACCTCCTCCTCCTCCTCCTTCTCCTCCTTCTCCTCCTTCTCCTCCCTCCTTCCTCCTGCCTCCTCCCTCCTTCCGCCTCCTTCCCCTCCTCCTCCTCCTCCTCCTCCTCCTCCTCCTTCTCCTCCTCCTCCTCCTGTCTGGCTCGCCCGGCAGCTGCACCTGAGGCGATCCTGGCTCCGTTTCACACATCTCGTCCGAGCACGCTGCGCCGCCGCCAGGCTCGCCCGTGGCACGGCTTCGCTCCCGCCTCTCGGCGCAGCCCCTGCCAGGACTCGATCGCCTGCAGGGCAGCGAGTGCGCATATCTGCACGTCGTGCAAGAGCCGTGCCGTGTGGCCTCGCACCCATCGGGCTGCTGAGAGCTCGCTCCTCACGGCCGTGGCCACGGGGGGCACGGCCCCTGCATCCACAGGCTTGGCATCGCTCGGGCGTGTGCATTCTTCCTTCGGCGAGGACCCTCGAGGAGCATCCTTGGTCCTCTGGCGAAGCAACCACGCGCGAGACCGAAACAAAAAAAACACAGGGAATGGACGTCCGAGCGATGGCGAGCAGGTCTCCAGGGGCCCGGAGCCTTCAGGCACGGGGTGCCTGGCCCCCCCCCCCTCTGCCCGCCGGCTCCACCACCGCCACCTGGGCCAGGCCAGGCGCGCCCGCGCCCGCCGTGGCCCCCGGGGAGGAGCCCATGGGGGGCGGCAGGAGCTCGGCGGCGGCGAGCCCGGGGGGGGGAAGCGAGAAGGGGCGGGCCATCTCAGAAGGCTCGGAAGGCCCCCCGGCCTCCTGGGAAGTTTTCGAGGCCTTCCCCGAGGGCGGACAAGCACTGCTCAGCGGGCGCGAGGGCTTCTGAGAAGTCCCGCCGCCTTCTGGCAAGCTCTTCTCCTCCTCATTTCTCCCCCTCCCTCGCCGCCGGCAGAAGCAGAAACCTTCGACTATCCTCTCCAATTTCTTGGACCTGTGCTGGGCCCCCCCCCCTCCCTGGCGCGCGGAGCGCGCCAGGCGCGGCGCCGGAGGCGCCGCCAGGGGGCTTTGGCGCAGATCCAATAAATCCGCGCGGTCCGTCGAACGTGTATAGTTGTGCGTTTTTTTCCTCCCTCGAGCTCGGGGCGGTCGGGAGTGGGATCCGCCCTTCCTGCGCCCGTCTCCCGCTCCGCAGCAGGTCTCACTTTTGACCCTTACGATTCGATTCGATTCAATGTCGATCGATTCCGATTGCGATCCCATCCGGCTTCGGATTGCGAGCTGGATTTCGGTTTACCAATACGGCTTTACTAGCATACCGATCTCGCCGATTCCGCTTCTCTCCCGCCCTCTCTGCCGATGTTTGTCGATCCGATTCGTGCCCATCGCCTACCCGACTGGTCGTCTCCAGTGCTGGGCTTTCCTGCCGCAGTGCCTGCGCCGATGCCTCGCGCGCCTGCGCCGCCCCAGCGGGGCGAAGGCGGCCATAGGCGGCCAGGGCCGGCTCCTCCGCGCGCGTCCTCTCTCCGGCCGGGGTCGCGGGCCCTCGCACGCAGATCTCGGGCTCCCCACGGGCGGGGGAATCCTTCTCGGTGAGTTCTCGGGCGGCGCACAGACGGGCCCCCCAGGTGGTCACGGCTGGCTTCGGCAGCTGGATAGTGCTTGGGCCCCGGCGCCCCAAAGTTTGGCCCGGCTCATTCGGCCAAGTCTGCCGTGCGCGTCAACGGGTGACGGCAGTTCCGCTCAGGGGAATATCGGGCCGGACGAAAGGGGGGGGATTGGGAAAGGGGGGTTTACGAAATTTGCTGCATGCAGCTGGTTTCGGCCTCACCGAGGGGCCCATTCCTCGATACATCGCCGCCTCCGGCGCCGGGGGAGGCGCCGGGAAAATCAGCTATAGGTGAGCTGCTTCTCAAGCCCCCCCTTTGCTATCCCCCCCCTCTCGCCCGACCCGAGAATGGGGCGGGGGGTCCTTCCCCAACGCACGCCACTACACCCGTAGCCCACTGGCCTGGCGCCGCCAACGCCCGCAGCGGGCCCCCCCCGAGGGCTCCCAGACGGCCTCAGCGCCCCGTGGCGCTGCGCCTCCGGCGGCGTCCCCGTCGGGGCGCGCCGCGCCGCGCGCGGGGGTCGGGGTGCCGAGGCCGCCCTCCGGGGCGGCCCGCGGGGGGCCTGTGGGGGCCGTGTCGGTGCGCAGCCCGAAGCCTCACCATAGGTCGTTGCCCCGTGGAGGCCACTGGCACGGGCCCCCCTGACTCCGGATCCGCTCCTCGATGGTCTTCGCCAGAGGAAGGATGCACACGTCCGAGCGATGCCAAGGCTTCCGAGGGGGGGGGGGGGAGGGGGGGGGGGCAAGAGCACGACGGGCTCCGCGGCCGCCCCCCGCTGCCCCCGCCTCCACTCCCGCGTGCCGGCCGGCGACGGCGAGTTCAGGCTCACCTGGGCGGAGGGCCGCGCGGGGGGCTGGGCCAGCGCGCGATGCATCTCGAAGGGGCCCCCTCCCCCCCCTTCCCTGACTCCGGATCCGCCCTACTTTGGGGAAATTCGTAAGTGGGGCTTGGAATTTCCGCCTTACTTTTCAGGCCCCGCTGATGCCATTTTCCGCCCTACTTTTCTGTTGTTGTTTCCGCCCTATTTCTGTGGATTTTCGCCCCATTTTATGTTGGGTGCAGGAATTTCCGCCCTACTTTTTCGGCTCCTTATAAGTGGATTTCCGACGCAATTTTAAGTTGGGAAAAAAGCCAAGTAGGGCGGATCTGGAGTCAGGGCCCGACGGGGCTGGGCCGAGGATAAGTCCGTTCCAGAGCGTTCCGGAACGCTCTGGGAAGGCTTCGGCGCCCGATACAGCTGCCAGAGTTGCCAGACCTCGAGATTCTCGATGTATTCTCGCACGATGTTTGTTCCTCGTCTTTCGTCTTAACGGGTGCCCATCAACGGGTATGCCAGCAGCGGGCGGGAAGGGTGGCAAGAGCGTGGCAGGAAAACGCCGCTCTGCCGCGAGGTGGGGAGGACCGTTTCCCCATCGGCGCTACCAGCACGGCCACCCCATGACGGATGCTCCGTCCGCGCGCAGGACAGGTGGCAGGAGCGCGCCGCTCTCCTGCGAGGAGGCGCGGGCCAGCGGCAGGAGGGCGCGGCGTCGGCCAGAGCCTCCCTCTGCTGAGCGTCATCTGGGCGGCTTGGATCCGCTGAGTCACCGACAGGGTCCCGCGGGCAAGGGGGGGCTTCTCGCGGTCGCAGAACGGATCGGGATGGCAAGTCCAGTCCGGGGGAAGCCCCGGGGTGCAGAGCGTTTTGCTCTTGGAGCTTCCGTTCAGGACAGAGAGTGCCCGAGGCATGGCCGGCGTCGTGCCCAGACCCCCGACGTCATGATGTTTTCATACAGGCCTCGGAAAAATAGCGAACACTCATGCCACATTCATCTGTGAACGCCTCCCCCTCCCCCCAATGTTCAAAGTTGGCGGTGGGTCTGATGAATTGCACCTCGACCGCAGTCTCCCCCGCGCGTGCCAACTTTGAGTTTGGAGGGCAGGGGGGGTGTTCACTAATTGTTTCCCTCTACCGTAACGCCGACCCCCGAGGCCTCGACCTATTCCCCGGGACCCGTTTTTCATCCTGAGTCCTTTTTTGACGGTCCTGAGGCCCGGTGAGGGCCCCCAGCGGCCGAAAATGGTGAAAAGCCTCCCGCCGGGATGATTTCATTACGCCACGGGGGTTTGGGTGCCCAGCAGCATTTTCCCCCGTAGGGGTGCGCGTCTCTGCGGGGGCGTCGCGCCGTCGTCCGACGCCTCCGTGCCTCTCGAAGCCGCTCTCCGGGAAGGAGCCGCTGCGGCCGCCGAGCGGGCCTTGGATTGACCCGCTCGGCGGCCGAACGGGCCAAGTCTTCGGTGGCTCCCATCGTGCTGGAGGACCACATCCAGGACATATTTTCGAGCACCCAGAAGAGTGTCGAAACAGTGTCGAACGAGCATCGCTT